TCAGAAAGGCTGGGCCTGATCCCAGTCTCTTCAGCCCTGATGGAGATGGTTTCCGGGCTGTTCTGCCGCCTCTCCTGGAGGACACTGGGTGTGTGCTTGAGTAGACTGTGTTCTGTGGTGCTCCTTCCTCAGGGTGGCCTGGCCGCAGGCCAGCACACGGCCAGCCGTGCCGGGGGCCCTAGATGTGCAGAAGGGTCCAAGCTTGGGGCGGCTCCTCTGAAGCCTGCTGTTGGGCGCACCTGTTACCCACTGCCTCAGGAGCCGCCTGCGGTTGTGCCTCGAGGAAAAGACTTTCCTGCCCTGTGCAAACCCTGAGCCAAGTCCAATGCGGACCCCGCAGCAGGGATCCCCCGGCACCACCAGGAGTCTTTGCTTCCCTGAGCATAGCTCTCCAGAACGCGGCCAGGAATCAAATGACTCCAGAGTTCTGAAAAAGCTGGTGTTGACCATTTGGTCAGGTGTCACCTGGCTACTTTGGAAGAGTTTTGGAAGTCCTTACTCTGCTGCTTTTGCTGATGGCACACCTGGAAAACAGACTGAGGGGGAAACAAATCCCCAGTAAGATCCCAAGAAACCGGCCCCTTCAGCTCTGAAAGTCCCTGCTGCCGTCTGCCCCACAACCCCCTGGGCCAGTCGACCTCGGGCATTGAGGGGTTCCCCTCCTCCCACCCCCAAGCTGCTTTATTCCCTCTCCTTCAGGAGCAGGAGGAGGGCGGCTAAGACTCCCCGGCCATAGCCAGGCTCCCTGGGCCTCCTAGGCCCATCTCCCTCTCAGACCTGCCCCTGGGAAGCTCTCAGGCTGAGGCCTAGGCTCCCAGACATCTCCCTGCCAAATTATTCCGGGTGCCGGAGCCCCAAAGACTGAAGCAGGGCTGCCCCCCACCCCATGGCTTACTCAGGAGCCTGCCTCACTCACTGTTCACAACCCCAGGGTTTCTCGCCAGCTCAGAGTAGCGGGCTCTGCAGCCCTGTTGCTGTAAGCGGGGGCCACGTGGGGCCCATGGAACCCGCCCCTGAGCACTGCCTTGCCCAGGCAGAGCAAACTGAGCCAGGAAGTGCACCGCAGCACACAGCTGTGATCCCCGTGACTCGGAGGCAGGAGATGACAGGTTCAGGGCCAGCCTGGGCAACACACAGACACATACACACACACACACACACACACAGACACAGACACACACACTCACTCACACACACACTCACACTCTCACACACTCTCTCACACACAGACACACACACAAGACTCACACTCACACATAGACACACACTCACACACACACGCTCACACACACACACAGACACACTCACACACACAGACACACACACAGACACACACACTCATAGACACACACACACACACACATA